TGAATGCCTGCCGGCATACTCGCCGAGGATCCAGATCATGGAGGCCTGCAGGACCCCTACCACGAGTTTTGTCAACACGCACCCCGAAAGGAACAGAGCCCTCACTGTTGGCAGGAACAGCCCGATGACCGGCGGAGCAAGGATCGCTCCCCACAGACGGTGAAGAGCGTACTTACGTCGACGGACATGATTTCATCACCCGGAAATACCCGGACAGATGGATCTTGCCGATTAGCAGGTTGACCACCAGTACACATCTCGCCTGGATGCACCCGACGAGTCTTCGTCTCAACACCGGGACATTACCCGTATACTTTGCAGAATTCTGCAAATCGCCGCATTCCCCTCATTCCCGCTTGACACTCCTCTGCCGACCCGGGTTCAGCTGTTCTGGATGCTGCCCGAACACTTCTCGGGCAGTACTCGAGTTGGTCTTTCCGGACACTCCCCGAGCACTGCACTGGGCGCTTCTTGAGCTTTACTGGGCTTTTGACATACAGGGCAATATGCACACAGCCCCTTCTTCGACCCAACACTGCGAAATACTGCGAACATAGCCAGCATGTTCTCGAAACCCCGACGAACTAGCCCGACTTGCAGCCTGGACAAGCCAGGCACCGATCACTGGCTCGTCAGAGCATGGCCGGCGACTCTCAAAGCCGCACTGACTTAGCAGACAGGCTTGGGCTTGGGGTCGGCAGAAGCAGAAGCAACGGCCCCTGGGCCAGTGCTGGGCCCCTCGCGGCCCTACAGCTAGATTTAGATTTTGCTCCCACACCCACACCCGTCAAACCGGCCTTGGCTTCCGGCTCATCTAAGACCTCCATGGACTCGCAGAGGGCAGACAAAACCTGCAGATGTTTCATGCTTGAGTGCAGAGCTTTAGGGTCTCCCGAACAGCCTGCTCATAGCGAGATGGATACTTTCGGAAGATGTCCTTCACGGAACTGTGAGGCTCCACACTGTATGGCATCGGCAAGGGCAATGCATTGCAGTGTCCTTCACAACCACACATGCCTCTTGCACGACATAGTTGACCTCTCGCCATGGGCAGCTCCACGGAAAACACTCACTGACAAAGCTCTGGCAGCGACACCGAACCTTTGTCTCGATCAGCTCTAGCAACACGTTGATGGCACGCTCACATGCACGCTCTAGCTTCACCTCGCGTGTGACACTGCTGTCTCAAATGCGACAGCTCTTTGTAGACAGCCGAGCAGCTGCAACTCTACCGATCGATCGCACGGACTTCCGCACGAACTCAACATCCACACCTCAGGCGCCCGCAGGTGCGTGCTTGCAGAATGCAGTCGTAAGATGAGGCGATGGCCGGATGCATACTCTTTGAGCTCCAGAAGCACCTGCAACTTCCAAGGATTAGCAGCGCGCTCTTCTCGCCTTACATCTTCGCGGCCACTGACCAACCCCGTGAGGTTCTGAGACATTATCTCACAGGAGCAGCTTGCCTGGTCGAAGTTCTTGTCGCTGACAAGCATGCACATTATGTCAACCTGCCCGTGCAATCGTCCAGCACTCTCAGGGTTTCGTGCAAACGAGCAACCTTCTCAAGTTTGACATAGATGGGATCGTTGTACTTGCAAAAGAACATCTTCACCTCACCGATGCACCGCAGAAGCTTTCCCCTCCCTCATCGGGGGAAGCCAGATGCCAGCAAGCAACATCGGATGCCAGAATGCCTGGGCGCTTCTGCACCTCAGCGAGTCTTTGTGCTTGCCAACACCACCGTGCACAGCCACAACACACGGGCAGCTGGCTATGACTCGGATGTTGCGCAGGGCCACATACTGAACCTCTCGAGTCAACACTGCTCGCGCGGGAATATGGTTTTCTATCACTGATTCCTCCACCTGTCAGATATCGAAAGGAAACAGCGGCCAACTCCACTTTCAGTCCAAAGTTCATAACGTCTGAATCTGAAGTTTTATGTGGTGGGCACTCGACGTGCGCCGTCTCAAAACACACCTAAGCCCTGAGCCACCTCTCTCCGAGCCTCTGATTCGCTGGAGAGGAGCGTGACCAGAGGAGGGTTCAGCTTCTTGGCAAGCAGACGCAGCACCTCTGGCGTCTGAGCTTACCAGTCTTGCGTGCTTGCGGGATTCTCTGGCCTCTGAATTCTCAATGTGTTCCATGCACCTGAGGATCACCTGCCATAAGACACTGCTTGAGCTCCACCAGATACAGAGTCCCACCTTGCCTATACAGGCCCCCTTACCATCTCCGTCTGCAAGCCTGCCTTGATGGCCGCGATAACCACAGCGGGGTTCGCATGGGAGAGCCTTGCGAGAAGCCACAGTAACCTGCACTTTGGACTGGGTGTTCTCGGTCCTGGCAGTGACCCTCTCCGTGATGGACTCGGAGTCGTTGGGCCCGGAGGGTTCTAAGATGAAGGCAGACTCTCACCGATCGCGTGCAGGTCAGCACTGAAAGCCAGGCCGTACGTTGCGATGGCGTCAAGGATGAAAACCTGCCGACCATCAACTCACCACCTCATTCCTTCAAGCCGTATGCAACTTGAGTGCCGCAACCTGGCCCCACTCATTGCACTCATTGAGGGCTGCCAGAAGCTTGTGGATGTTGCCCTGTCCACAAGACTGATCATTTCTAGTGGCTGCAGCAGGTTGACTAAACACGCGCACTTCACAAAAAATTACCCAAGCTTTCAAAGTCTTCCTTGCCTTGTCTAAATCTAGCAAATCCTTGCCGCAAGTCTGAGATATTTCTGCAAGCCCTGCGACAGCGTTGGCAACGACCTCGCTTCTGTCGCATTCTGCTGTTTTCAGGCGTGCGGAAGACCGTCGCAGATTCTCAGGAGTGGGCCATTGGATTTCCGTCTCCAAGAAGATCCTGTGCAAATGGAGACAGCAACTCTCTACAGCAGGACAAGACCAAACGACCACGTCTGAGACTCAGGGAGAGCCGAGCCTTCAGGATCTCCACGAAGCCTTGGTCCTCCACCAACTCCGGATTGATGTCGTAAACCTGCACAAGAGGCAGCCTTGCAGGCTTCATTTTTGCACTACAGGGTCAAAAAACCTTTCCAGAGGGCCTTCGGAATACATATCGCGGAGGTCTTACGGACATAAGGGTCCTGATCCTGACGCATCACGCAGAATCCAGATTGCTAGTTTCTCACGGAGTCTCACACTGCTCTCGGCCTGGCAACATCTTCTCAGGGGCTCTAGCAAATACTCAGTGACCTGTCAACATGCATAAAAGATGGCACGCCATGTCTCTGATACACATGTGACCTGGTCGAGCCGAATGCAACCCATGGTCCGGACCTGGAAGAAAGTGCACACCCATTGTGGCTGGTGCTTCAAACATGGAGTGAGCTTCGGGCAGCTAGAGAACGGATCAGAGGGTTTGGATCCGTCGCATCCTGCCAACATGCCCGACGACGCCACAGCAGGTGAGCAAAATCAATATATCGGTCGCCTTTCTGAAGGTGTTGATGGCAAGAATGGCGAGCTCAGGCTGAGCCTCTCCAGCTAGTAGTATGCAACCCAACTGTGACCATCTGCAACGGGCTTCCCCATTCCCAGTTCTCTCTGGCACCTTCGCATAGTTCATGACATACAAGTAGACCAGCTTCTTCAGCTCGATATTGTCTGTCCTCAGCGAAGGAGCAATACTAGCAGTCATCGTGAACTTCGAAGGTCTCGTGGTGTTTTGAGCATCCTGTTTTGCGGCCTCGCAACATCTAAATCTCGCGATGCATTTCTTGTCCAATACTGCTCTGATCCATTCGAGTTTCACTTGGCCGCTTTTCCAGACTTTCTGCCTGCTATATAACATGCTGTATAGTATCATGCTGCTGCGATGTCCCTGCTGCCAGGCACCCTGCTGGAGTTCCTCCAAGTGCCACGTAGCTGGGGCATGTGCAATGCAAAGGGCTGCTTTCGACAACTCAAAGCTAAGATGATCGTTCTCCATCCGCTGAACGTTCCGAATGCGCCGTGGAGTGCTCCGCAGGGCTTGAGAGGCTCGGAGAGGCTCGGAGGCTAAGCAGAGCAGATTCTGTGGCGATTTCTACTTGGTTTAGGGTTTAGGGTTTAGGAGGGTTTAGGGTACAGGGTTTAGTTGCCTTGCGCCAATCTTGGTGCACGCTGGTGTGCCGCTCGAGGCTTGGTTTGTTGAAATGACAGAAGTGAGCGCTCTATGTTGGTGGGGTTAGGGAGCTAAGCGTGTGACTGGATGCAGTTCACCACATCTGCAAAGAGGGCGGACACATCCTTGCCGACAGTCATGTTGGCAATGACCTGTACAGACTGCAAACGTCCACCACAAGGCTGCGGCTGCAACTTGCAGGCCTTTTTCACCGCATCTTTCTGCTTCTGCTTATCATTTGCATGGAGTTCTTCTTTGAGTTCCTCGCAACATCCAAAGCACAATAAGAAGAATTCCTTCGAGGTGAACACGGCACCTGAATCTCGCCGCGCTTTGTCGTTTGGAAGAACTTTCCGTCATTCTGCTTCCTCCCGGCCGGCACATCTCGCGATAGGGAGGGGGTGGTCGAAGACTTTATGAGGCTCGAGCTGTCTCATTGCCACCATTGCAGAGCCTGCGACACGTGATCTCGCAAGTACCAGGTACTCGGTCCGCAGGCTTTGAGGTCACGACCCTTCCACTGCCGAGGGTAGCAAGCCTGCCTCTACCCGGGAGGCGGGCCTCCGAGTACTGCACATGTGAATACGTGTGAAAGCTAACGAGACTACCGGGTGGATGTCGCCTGCACCACTCAAGCTGGCAGTCTCGGGAAATGGCCATGAGCTTACCAGAGCCAAACGGCAGATCAGCAGAACGACAGCCCTCGAAACAAATAGTGGTTTCGAATCACTGCGGCCATCGGCTAAAAGGAAAGAGCATGACAAACACCGGCGCCATTTGGCTTGCAGAAAACTGCTTCTTGCAATTACCTTTGGCAAATGCAGTGAGATTCCTTGCAACCTGATGCTGCAAGAAGCTTCACTTCCAGCATTTCAGCTGGTTGCTTTGCTTTCTTTGGCCTTGCGTCAGGGGTCATAACGGGGCGATGAACGACACACTTGGCTTTGTAGACCTCGCAGCAGCCATACAGTGGAAAAACCCTCAGAAAACAGTCGCAAAAACATTGGTGGCAACTATCCTGGCACTTGCACGCAGTCCGCACTAACTGGACTCCGACTTCACAGTGCTCATGTTAGTGCCACATTTGCAGTACCGCTTGTCGCGTCTTGGTGACGCATCTGTCATGATGTTTACAACATGCGAAAACCATACCACTTTCCATACCACAAACAGAAACTCGAAAACATGAAAATCATGAGAGGAAGGCCCTGCCTGTCTCCATTCACGCCTGGCGAAGGATGATGATCGGCGGGCGTTTACAGCCGCACATGCAAGCAGTTACAAAGCCAAGAAGAGTGCCGACTAGTCGCTGCTGTTTCCGGATCAAGTCTGTATCTTGCCGAACTTCTTCTGCGAGTTTGGCATTGCTCCTACAAGGCAAGACGATCAAACACGTGCGGCACAATGAGCACGGCGGAGCAAATCGGGCATCTACGTTTTGTTCTCGGCCAGGGAATGAAGCACCTGTCTGGCAGCAAACATGGAGATATCTATCTTCCAAGTGCTGATCCGTGGAATACATGCTGGTAAAGTGGATACCGCCTTCTCCGTAGCGTTGCCGACATTTTCAATGCTCTCCTCGATAGTGCCTTGTATCGTCCTGAGACATGGTACTTGTGAGAGTGTCTGGTGGTAACTTCAGCGCACAGAATCTCACTGAGCACTTGGCCGGATATTGTCAGCACTAAAAGCATGCTCCAAAGACTTTTGAAGCTCTCCACTCTTGTACCTCGCAGCCAGTGGCCACAGCAAACATGGCGTTTATCTTCGTGCACTCCAGAATTTCTCCAATATTCACATCTCGGGTCGCTGCCTGTTCACCAATGACGTGATTCCTTTCCTGCCACTCGGAAGCGGCCATCAGGCTTCGTCAAATTTCATCATCACTACCACCGTGGCCTCATCATGGCATCATGCGTCGCTTGCTTCTCTTTGTACGCGTTGAGCCGGAGAACCTGACGTCAAGTCGGTGGCAACAAAACAGCGAAAAACGGTTGAAAGCCACGACATAGCTTCCGGCCTCTCGTGCCTCCAACACAGCATTGCGCTCATGCTGTGGCAAGTCCCAGACGTTCTTGTTCCGGGCTGCCACAGGTCATACCAAAGCGCGTATCCATGCAAAACGCTTCATTCTGAAATCTCGAAAAACGCATGGGCGCGTACAGGCGCCATAACCATGTTTTTGGATGGCACTCTCGGGCCTTCGGGATCGTCCCACATCAAGATTGGCTGCCCTGTTGGCGACTGAATGGATGTCCTGGCTTTAAGTACGCCAACAATCGACGGCATCGGCTATTCATGCTTGAGTCTGGCACCATCCCACTGCTGGGTAGTTGATCCTGACCTCGCTTCATGGAGGTCCGTGTCACGAAAGGCTGCCACCAGGGTAGTTTAATTCAGCTTCCGACCCTTCTGCCATGCTTGGCGATGACATGTACGAACATGCCCATAGGAAGGGTTTGCACCTCAGAGGCAAAGCAATGCGAAACTTTCATCTTCGCTCCAAATCAAGAAGCTTTGTAACTGATGATACTGGAACTCAAGTGCATTTGCCCTTGTTGACAAGATGCTCCGAGTTTGCGAGGTGCTCTGCCCTGCTCAACAAGCCATCAAAGCGAGACTTCAAGCAAATGTTTTGTAACATATCCGCCGAGACCATAGGCTTCAGGCGTCTTGGTACGCTCTACCCGCCCTCCCACACATCTCCCTTGCCCTCCCCCCCTCCCCTTCCCTTTCTGGTCCTTTGCCGCCCTTGAGCATCACAGTAATGGCTGGTGGCATAGCGTATAACTTTTATGTCAGCAAACACGATCACACACAAACCGTAACGTATCGAGCCCCTGCACAGGAAAAGTGAATTCCTCTTTGTCACTCCGAGAAAGCAGGTTGCAATTCCGAGTTCACCCAGAATCGAATGTCCCGAAGCCGTCGGAACTCGATCCGTTCAAAACATCCGATCCGAAAGCGGCATTATGGCACGGTGCCTCTCTCCGACCTCCCATAGGTGAGGAGCTAAACTGAGATGTCCGGCGAGCCAGACTCTAAGACTTCACCAACTCGAATTGGTTCCAGCACGACTCTACTCACTCTACTCAGTCTGGGTGCGTTAGCTCAACTGCACAGGTTGAGATCACGCTTGACATGCGATTGTGCCAGCAGGCACCCCCTCCCAACATGAGGATGGCATCCAGGGCATTTTGTTGAACTTGTTGTCCAAAAAAGAATAAATGTTGCCCTGGCTGTCGGAGAAAATGGGATCGCACTGATCCTTCCGATTCTTGGTTTCACAGACAAACCCTGTGGGCCGTTGACGTGGGTGGGCCCTTAATTTATGGGGCCGCACACACCATGTATAAATATATATATATATGTATATATATATATATCATGTATATACTACATATCTCCTCTTTGGTGTTTGATGCCACAAGTCGACTTGTGTCCTGCGAGCCCACACACGCACATGCAGGAGATGCGAACAACCGATTCAATCCTCGAAGGACCAATCCCTAAGGGTGAAGATATGAATGCCGCAAGGACGATCGCTAGAATGTGCGAAAACGATGTCGAAGCAGAGCACAGCCGCTTCCAAGTACGATGCGATGAAGAAGACCCGCCTAAGGGAAGTTTTCTGGCCTGGTCCATCTTTTTGACTGTGACGACGCCTGTAGACAGTTGCGGAGGAAGACAGCGCGAGGAGAATGGGGACGTGAAGACCAATCCAAATAAATCTAAGCTTTTTCCAAGTTTGAGCATCTTGTGTTCGAGACAACTTCTTGTCGGATCACCGTGCAAATTCATGTTACCATTCCACATCACTCTAGTGCCAGCCTTGGGCGAAGCGTTGGACGGACATGTATTAGGGCTCTCCACTGTCAGATGTTGGAGGATCTCGACCACAGGATAGCCAATTGTCGGACACCCTCTTCGACCAAATGGGAGGCGTTGGGCTTCTAGTTTTCCCAACAGCCGGAGATTTGATTCGAGAACACACTGCATCGTGTTGTTGTCTTCGTGAAGTTCCCGTGTCTCACATTGTTTGGGAAGCACTTATGCGCGGGTCCAGCCAAGGTTAGACTCATATATACTCATATCATGGGGAAGGAAGAAGGCTTGTGCGCTGAGTATGTGGGGATTATGAAGGCATCTCGGCTCTCCCAGGTTTTGGTCGAGCAAGGGCTAAGTCGAAGCGCTCATGGAACAGTTTCGCAATTTGGGAGCACCGAGCAAACGTGAGTGAAGTGGCACGGCGTAATGTCTACACGTTTCAGAGCTCGCCGGTTCAACCCGACATGGGAACAATCTAGCACCCGCTTCTACAGGGTTTTCATCAAAGCAGGTGGGGACGAAAAAGACTTTGTTGATATGGATCGACGGCTTTTGGAAGGAGCAAGTTAGGCACCCAGCTGTGTGTTGGATGGGGCCGGGGGCGATGGCGCTCCGGCCCATAGCAGGAGATCCAAGCAGGTCCCGGTTCCAGTGGATCAGAAGCCTCCGACTGCAAGAAGCAAGCGAACCGGACAAGAGGGCCGCAAAGAAGAAGCGAGGTCAAGAACAGAGACTCAAGTCGGTTCACAGGTCGGAGGCGACCGCCGAGAACGACAAGAAGGGCACGGGCAACGGCAAGTCCAAGGAATTCGCGGGGTTTCAGTTGTGCTTCATATGAGCCACAGGGACCGGGCCATGTGAGCAAAAAGTCTGAGTGATACTTCGTGTCATTGGGCCTGTCTTGATTGTGTGCGCTTGCGGTCCGTCCACTGGCAGATCGAATATCTCCATGAAGACTGAGCGACTAAGTCGTAAAGCGACGACTGTGCGACTATGGCAACTCCCCACCCCCCTGGCCACCGAAATGGGGCTACCGTGAAGGAGAGGTCCGAGCTGAAAAACCCGGGACCACTAGATGCGATGGAGGCGGATATGTGGCTTCAACCGCTCCTCTCTCTTCTGCAGTTTCGGCCAAAAGGAAACGGTGGCCGTCTCCCCTTTCGTGCGAGTCTAAGACTCTCCAAGCCGCGCATGACACGTAAAGTGTTCCAAGAACTCGACGTCAGGCAGACTACGTTTCTCTCTCGCACCTGCCTGCAACCTTATCCCCGCTTAAGGCGGCAGCCACGGGCGAGGTCAAGCTTTCGTTCTGTCGAATGAGAGTATTCAGCCTGACTCGGACAACATGCTTCTTGCCGCTTGGAGGTGTCGTCTATTCTGCATGCGAGAAAGGATACATCTCAGACTCCCTCACTGCCCTGTGCCATCCGGTGGTATTGACTTTCCACGCACCGATGGTCGCAGAAAGACCTGCACAAATATTGCATGCACAAGCAGGCATGAACATCCACAGGTGAGTGATATGCAACTGCGGACAGCCGTCGCTTTTTATGTTTGCAAGGCTTGCGGCATCGGCACGAGGGCTATGTGGCTACAACATTCAAGCAGGACTCTCACGACACTCTTCTCCACTGATACGATCACTTCTGGTTCGCCACCAGGGGAGAGCGTAGCACATAGACAAGGATGAACCAAATGTATACGACTCAACTTAAACACAACAGCATACAGAGGTGGGCTCCCGGCAGCTCAGATCATTGGCACGTGTCTTGAAACGATGCACATCTCGAACCGGATTGGAACAGTGAAACCAGGTCACCGGGTAACAACACTGCATATCTCGAAGAACTCAAGCAAAAGCTCGGATCTGACTCACTGCCCCAGTGCATGTTGCCACTAGCTCGGAGTGCATACTCGGAACAGACGCTTAACTAGACTTCAGGCAGTGACCTGTCTTCGGACTGTGCTGCTGCACTCAGAATTCCCGCAGAATCCTTCTCCATCATCTTACAGAACTCGTCGAAGCCTGAGTTTGAGGCCCGAATGTGCAACATCCTCGGGAACTGCGGCCATGCTGCAAGGTGCTTCCAACGCGTCGCAGCTCGTACTTGCTTCTCGCCGCCTTTACATGGAATCGAGCTGCTGATCTCACCATTCGAATCCAAGTCCACGTCTTGCACCATCTTCTCAATGTAGGACATGTTGTCCTCTTCCTGGCTGCACTACTTTCCGAAAACGTTGCGGCTGCAGCTCGAGAGACAGTGCTCGCCAAGTCGAATGCCTTCAGGATCTTTGCCAGCTCATCCTGACATACAATGTAAAAAAAAGCAGAACAGACAGCAACAGATCCGTGCAGGACTGAAACTGGCAGTGCTAAGCCTTCGTGATGACACCGTCACCATTGGTGTCGAAGACACGAAAAGCTGCCCACATCACTTCGCGCCTGCGCAGCGCTTCAATCCGGGAATTCGAAGCGATTCCGAAGGCATCCTTTTGCTAAATACCGAAGCCTCAAATACTGCTTTTTGGTTAATGTCGCTGCCATGAACTCAGTATAGTCGATGTTGCCGGATCCATCCGTATCGAGGTTCTTTACTATCTGCACCTCGGCAAATGGAGCTAGAGAGGGCTGAACATGAACTTGATCGAGACTGGGGGTGGGACAATGTCATCTGGCAAGTCTGCCTTCGCTGTCCTCATGCCAGTTTGAATCTCTTCGAGGCCTCAGCTGCGCCTGAGATGGCTCTGCAGCCGATTTATCACTGGTTCAGCCAAGTCTCTCAAAGTCCCGTCCCTGTTCTTGTCGAGCTGAATGAACGTGTCTCGGAGCTCCTTTGGATGAAGGCAATGAAAGCCTAAACTGTTCAAGATTGGCGGCACGGATTGGCAAAAGCAAAACATCCTTGAGATCATCGTCTTTGAGCTGCTGGGCTATGAGGGTTAGGGCGACTTTCTTCATCCTGACGTCCCGATCTCAGCCGAAGTTTCTTGGGGAAAACTCGTGCACGTGCCTCGAATTGCTCTGGAAGCGCTTCAACTTGTGACCCAAGTCCTTCACCGCAACAAACGCAAATTGTGTAGACATCTTTGCAGCAAGTAAGAGCATACTGGAACTGGAGTCCGAAGCTATCTCAAGCTCTGCGTCCTTGGCCACTGCTCCTACGGGAGCACTGACCGATGCAGTCAACCACTTGTGCATCAGCAGCGTCGAGGCACTTGGCCTTTGTCCTTAAGGCAGGAAGCACAAGCACAACCCGGCCTGAGAAGTTCACTGAAAATGCAGGCCGGGCTGCGCGGGTCATATGTGAGCATCAGCTTGATGAATTCGATGGCGTCGCTGGACACGTCCGACCAGTCAGCTGGATCAAACTTCACTTCTCCTTTCTTGACCTGCAAAAACAATAGTCCATCTATGCAGACATTTCCGTCTGCACCTGACATATTTATCATGAGCTTCTTTGGCCACACTCTCCCTCGTGCTGCTAACACCTCCATCTTGACCACACTATCATATGCCACTTCGGCCAGGTAACCATTGCAAGGATCTCCTTGTCTTTTTCACCTGAGACAGCTTTGATCGTCCCGCTCGTGAGGACAGGTCCGCACACGAAGTGTATGTGCAACTGAGATACCATAGAAGGGTGGATAGCCTGGCTGCAAACTCTTTCCGTTATGCAAGCGGCGATTCGTAGGCAATTCCAATCAACAACGATCAGCCAATCAAGTAAGGGCAAGAAGCCACACATGAGTATGTAGCAAATCACGCCGCAACTCCAAATATCACATTTCTCGTCGTACGCTCCACTCAGGACCTTGTCACGGGCGAAGCACATGGGCACATGGGTCCCAAGCCTTTCCAAGCATCCTATCTTCAAGAACGACAGGTCGGACTGCCTGGGGGGCCACATAGTACGGAGTGCCAGCCCGAGTCTTCATCGGTGAGGAACTGCCGGGAACGAAGTGCTTCGCAAGGCCAAAGTCAATAACCTGCAACGGCAAAACGTACACACCAGACCAGGTGACACGAGGAGGCTGTCAGGAATCTGGGAAATAAGAGTTCAAACACAAGACACCTTTATTTCGGCGTTGGCATCCGTATTCTGCATCAGAAAATTTTCTGGCTTGATGTCCCGGTGAACAAAGTTGTTCTTGTGCAGGTAACTCCTGATTCTTGCAAGGCTGGCGAGACAACTCGACATCAACCAACGCTGTATGCGAGGCAACTTGTTTGTCTTGCGCTTGAACCAAGCCACATGGCACCTAATATCTGCTGCATGTACGTGGCAGCACCGCGCTCGTCAAAAGCGCGAGCACCATCCTGAACATCAGCAAAAGAACAAATCTGGTGTCGCTGGCGGTCACACAATGCTGGACGCGCTGAGAGTGGCACATGCTTCTCTGATTCGGCGACAATTCGCTCAAAAAGTTCTCCGCCGGAGCAAATTTCCATCACCTGGCGACTATGATGTCACGAATGATTCGAGCTCAATCACAGAGCGGTGATCAGCCCTGCACCAGGTAGAAGCGCTTTGCATCTTGAAAAACCTCAAAGCAAGAACGTGCAACAAGCAAGGTAGCTGCACTCAAGCACGAAGCTTCTTCAACCCACACAATGAACACTGCGCAATGCTGCTCTGCAGCTTCATAAAGCTTGACGATATTCGGATGGTCCAGAGAGGATTGTATATCCACCTCTACCTGGAACCGCGCTGGGTCCGAGATCTTGTGTCTGTTGATTGCCTGATCGCAGCCAGGAAATACATGCGAACCAAGAGAAAACGAATCCGCAAGGCCCCAAACAAGCAGAGCCTTGATGGCGCGAACGGCTCCGGTGTCTTTATGTACTCCTTTGCAGACCTGGCCATAGGAGCCCTCCCCGAGAGGCTTCTTCTCCACCTGAGCTCAGCGCCTTTACAACTAAAAGATTTTCACGCTTAGGGAGCTTTGGGCTGAAATGCACGAAAATCTACTACTGGGTGCAGCAGGGAAGCGGAATAGACATCATCCAGTTTGTTTGGGTTTTCAGCGCAGAACCTTGTGCAGCCAGGCCCGCGGCATGTCTTCATCACAAAACCCGTGGCTTACAACGTTCTTTGCATCACAGAGAGACAAGAGACAGAGAGAGAGAGACGGAGAGCCGAATCTGAGGTAAAGGCGTGTGTGAAAACGTCGTTGTTGTTGCGCTAAGCAACTTCTTGGGCGCCATGCTCGCCAACTTATGTCCAAATATCCTCTATGGCAAGCCTATTGGTACAGCTCGACTGGCAAAAGCTACTCTTGTGGCAAAACTTTCCATGTCAGTTTCAGGATATACTTGCACACCTGTGGCTCATGTTCAGTCTGAAGCCCCGACGTGCACAGAGCAAGCTATCAATGCTTCGTTCGTGCCCTTGGTGCCCAACTGAAAACTCAATGCTCTAAGTAGGCTGTTGAGACGAGCCCCGACCACCGTCAAAACACGTTTCGGCTGCTGTTCCTGTGACTGACCAGCACAGCCACAATGCGTACCCCCAGCCTGCAGATTCTAGGTGCGACTTGGCTGGAAACGAAAATCGCACAGCGATACCGCAGACACCTGCCATTCGGCCACGTTAGCCTAAACTTCCATGGATTATGCAGCATGCATCTCGCTGCGAAGCCTACTGCCGCAAGCAGCAGGGCCGAGACCTGGAGTGACGAGAAGAAGCGTCATGCAATATGCTTATGCCAGCCGACAACGTTCATATCATGCTCATGACATAACGTGTACAACAGGCCCCAGCTGAGGATGCAACTCTGAGGGCCAGCGCCGGCCAGCTTTTCTGTGACATTGACATCTTTGGAACACGACCGATTTCCTTCTGCTCTTATTGCGTGTTTCCGTTTCCCACCCAACACAGAGCCTCTGGGCTGCCGCATCGCACAAGGAGAACCAAAAAACATGACACCAACGGGTACGTAGACGTCGAAAAAACTTGCGGTCTTCAGCTTGAAACCGCTTTCTTGGTTTGCTACGTCGTTTTCCGTGGGCAATTTCGAAACTCGCCGGGTCTTATAGCAACACATCCCGCAATGAGACATGTTTGGCCCATTTTGGGAGGAGTGCAAATCTATGTTTTCTTGTCGCCGCAAATATTCAATCTCTTTGCATCTTGAAGTTTAAAGTGGCCAAGTACAGTTGTTGTGCCACAAACCAAGCAAACACTCGAGACATCTGAAATCGAAAAAGCAAATAGAAAAAGCATAGAGCGGCGGATCCAAAAGCTTTCAAATCCTTGTCACTGCAAAACACACTTCCGTTCAATTCCGAACAGCCTGCATAAACTCCACATAAAAAATTCACTTACAGGAGTGTAGAAGCCAGCTCAGCTAAGTGCTCCGCCGTCACAAGACATGTTGTGCCAAAAGCCACTTCAACGCTCTTCCCACAGAATAATTGTGAGCATACCCCGCAGGGGCGG